TTTTTTTATATATATAAATAGATTATTTTATATTAAATCAACTTCAATTCGAGTTACTGCTTCGAAAAATATTTCTCAAATTATGCTCTAAAATCCTACTTTTGATACCAACTAATAATAGAAAATATAAATATGATTTTGTACAATAAAATGATGTTTTGACATATAAAAACGTAATGTGATGCATGACGGTAAGTTCAGGTGTTAACACTCGATACTAGGCCACTATTTGTTATTAGATTTTATGATTGTTTGACTATTGATTATGATAATTAATTATGTTGAATACTCTGAATGACGATCATGAATTGTTAAGTTGAGAATAATGAATTAATAAATCCTACTATTAAGGCTACTTAGAAGACCTCTAAGATAGACCTTTGATTAGAATGGGCCTTGCGAGTATAAAACGTATATTCGGTGGCCTTGGGTAAAAACGTACGTACGGGATCCATAACCAAACTAGAGGAACTCGTTTGAGGATACCACCCAACCCGACAGTCAGTATCCTACTGTTCGGTTTTCTAGATTTGTACCTTAAGCAAAGGCTAGTTTAAGAGTTGGTAAATCAATCGGAATATATGTACCTTAAACTAATGACCTAGCTTAAGAGTTGGATAGAGGTACCTTAAACTAGAACTAGTTTAAGAGTTGGTAAACATCAAATAAATTGGCCTTAGACTAAGAATAGTTTAAGGATATTATTGAATGAGGATGTTGAATATGAATATATAATGACGAATGTTGAATATTGATTATTGTATATTTGAACTGAATACTCTATGCATGATATCAAATGATTTGATTATGAATTTGGATTCAATTTATGTGGATGTTCGATGCTTTAGATATGCTTACTCAGCTTCACCGCTGAGCGTGTAGTGTGTTTTATTTGCTACACGCAGGTAGGCAGAACGAGTAGTTGACATGTTCCTGGCAGCAGAAGGGGTGAGGCGATCGTGGTGGATTTATGATTTAAAATGATTAAATTAAATTGTTATGAGACATGATTTAAATTGCTTCCGCATTATGGTTAAAAACTCCGTAATTTATTACTGTTATGTATGGAATATTATTTTATGATAAATAAAGATGTTAAAATGTTTTAAATTTTTACGATTACCATGTTAATACTTTAGTCCGAAAGGGGCTGCAGACCTGGACGGATTAGGGTGTTACAATTTATAATTACTTATTTTGGGTCCTTCTCAGTAATTAATTAATTATCAATTCATTAATTCTGATAGATTTATTTTCGGGGCGTTACACATCCCACATGGTTCTAGCCAAGAAGGTCGTTTTGGAGGGTTATCCATGAAAAAACATTTAGCGCATGTCAATTTGGTCGGGTCATACACAAAGGTTACCTCTTCCCCTCCCCCTTCTTCGCTCAAAAATCCCTCATCCGTATCTTCTACAACTAAACAATTGTACTTCTTTCTGTACCTCCACGCAGGGTCTGTTTCAGACGTGTGTGAAGGTGATTCAAAAGGAAGCACGCAGGGTCTGAAAAAATCTCAAACAAATGCAAATAATGTGATGGGCTTGGCCAATCAGCCAGGCCAGACCTTTCCATTCTATGAGTAATTAAGATTGTGCCCTAGAAAGTGGGCTAGGGGGTGTACTTTGGGACGGCATTGAAGAGTGCCTCTAGTGAGGTGAGGGTTTATATGCCTTGCGAGGTGGTCAAGGCCAATCTCGGGAAAAGCGTTGAAATTGTCTGGGAGATAACTTTAGGGCCTCGTGAGGTGGCCGAGGCCACCCTCGGGAGAGGGCTTTTAGTCGCCTCAGGAGACGAGGGCTTAAGTGCCTTGTGAGGTAGATGGGGCCGACTTCAGGAGAGGACTTTTGGGTGCCTCGGGATACAAGGGCTTAAGCAACTTACGAGGTGGCTGAGGCCGACCTCGGGAAAAGTTGAGTGCCTTGTGAGGTGGCTAGGACCAACCTCGGGAGAGGACTTTTAGTTGACTTAGGAGACAACGGCTTGAGTGCCTTGTGAGGTGGACAGGGCCGACCTCGGGAGAGGGCTTTTGGTTGCCTTGGGAGACAAGGGCTTGAGTGCCTCGTGAGGTGGACAGGGCCGACCTCCGGAGAGGGCTTTTGGGTGCCTCGGGAGACGAGGGCTTAAGTGACTTGCGAGGTGGCTGGGTCCGACCTCGGGAAAAGGGTGAAATGATGTGTCATCCGTGAGCTCTGCTAGGCGGGCTCAGTTGCAAATGTAATGTGGTCTTCCACTTTGTACCTGAAAGACAAAATATGAAAAATTTCTGTCGTTTTCTTGAGCGGCATAGCGCCGATGACGCGTGGTAGCGTAGAAGTGCGATCTCAGCAAATCTAATATTTGTGCTCAGGAGGACTGCAAGTTTTTGTCTTAGGCCCGATGATGCACAGCTGCATAAAGTCGAATGGAAGCGAACATGAAATCACGTGGAAGAGATTTTTTTTATTTCTCTTTTCAGAGGAGATGGATATCATCGTACACGGATATCAGGACATGTACTCTGTCGTATGAAGAGAATAATGGAACAAAATTCACAAGGCCCCTTAAGTTATTTGGAATCAAAACAGGCACCCGGCCGAATGTAATACACCTAGCATCAACGGGCTCGGCCGGTTAAGATCACCATCGCCGAATGGGATTTTACAACACTACCGCATGAACTCTTCTTGTCATGATCTTGCACTCGGACTCGGCCACCCTCCTATGCTCGGATTGAGCCCCACTAGAAATTATGAGCTCGGCCTTCGGAGTTGTCACGCACTCGGCCATATGAGATTTTGACTTAGATGCATAAGAGGGAGGGTGAAAAACAGAGAGTCTTCTCAGAACGAGCGTGAAGAAACCAAATCGGTGACGATGGACGTTGGGCATTTCTCAACGAGGTTTCCCCAACAATAAACCCCAATTAATATATCCCTTTTTTCGGCTAGTGCGTCTATCCATTTTCCACGAAACATACTTATCCATGCCCAGTTGATACAAATTGGTGTAAGCCCTACCTTTTCTAGCTCTTGGCATTTACTTACTGTCCAACTCTTAGCCGCCACATACTCAATTCCAACAAAGACATATCAAAATTTTGTATATGGATAATTTGAAATCTAGGTGGGCACAATGATGTTGCCACATGATTGATATCTCTCACTTGTGGGCCATCAATTAAAATTGAATTTGGCCCTCTTCACTTTATGCATTTTTTACGGAGTAATATTATGGGAGAGTGCTCAAAATTGACAAAGCCACTTGCTTGATTTTGGTTTAACTACTGCGTTCAACTACTGCAAAATTGACCCACTCTCTTCCTTTTGCACGATACGGAATGATAATAAAAAGACATGAGCACTTGCCTGATTATGGGTTGGAGCGCAGAAAATTACCACATGTCTACTTCACCGCTGCAACACGCTTTGTCTGACGGTCAGCTGGCCCGCATATAGTCTTCGCATGCCCAGACGATGATCTTCGTCTACTGTCCCCAGTCGGCATACTGGCACTGACATGCTTGGCCGGTTGTGAAGTCATTGATAGGCAGAATTGATCTCTAAGTCACTAACCGTGTTAATTTGGAGAGGGCGGAGGAGAGAATTGAAGTCCGATGGTGAAGGGGCAAGGTTAACATCGTTGTTGGAGGAGCAAGCTCAACTCCGGAGCTGCATGAGAGTAGAGACAATGACCCGCTGCAAACCCAGGTCTGGTCTTCCTCCAGTCATCGGGAATCATGGCGGGAGATTTTTGAAAAGTCATTGGGATGCGGTTGAGGGGCTGCCACCGTCACTATGTCCTCGATCTGAAGAAGGATTTGAGACCTGTGGTTTCGAACCCACTGGCTATCATCCAAGGTTTAGTATCTGAGTGTCTAGGCCCGAAGCTCAAATCGTAGCTCTCAAAATGGGGACTCAGAATCTTAAAGCCAAGAGGCCAAGATCGGAACTCTTAGGATTGGAATCTCCATCTGCAAACTGCTTTTCCCATCGGGGACTTAGTTTCCGTATCCCCAAACTTGGGTGGCTACCACTTCGCTTAATGTACTCTCTCGCCATCACACTGCCCGTCGGAATAGGAAATTGGAGTGTTGCCTGAAGCCCGTCATGGTGGACTCCTACATCGGAGCCTTGGCGTAATCAGGGACGGATGTACGGTGCTCATCATCTAGCACTCCGTTGAAGCAATTGCTTTGGGTCTTTGAAGATGATGAACAAGAACATCCCCTTCTAAATTTTGATTCTGCCACCGTCGCTAGGTCTTCAACCTGAAGAAGGATCTGCCTCGCTCCATCCTCGGTCGGCAAAGCTCCCCGTGGCCATCCTCTGTTAGTCTAGATTCACAATTAGAACAGCATCAAGGGCGGAATGCTCTGTCGGAAGTGACGGCGGCCTTGCGGCTTGGTGGCGGTGGAATTGCACCAATCACCTTGGCGGCGGTGGGCCTCCTAGGCCAGAGCCACTCTTGCGTCCGGTGGTGGCAGCTTCGACAGCCATGCTCCAAATGGAGATCCCATATTGCCTCGTAAGTCGGGCTTCTTCGTCTCCACGAACAGCTCTGAAGAGGCGGAGATGGCCACCGCATGCGAAGTCTGCAAGTGAGGAAGCGAAGGCACGATCCTGACCAAAGAAGCCGTGACCGGTTGCTTGAAGAAAGATGCTTCTCCGGTCGCGAATCCAGAGAGAAGCCCATTCACAGCCATTTTTTGCTGGAGGGCTCCAAAATTAATCGTGCGTGGATTTTAAAAGGTTCCAATCTCGACTTCTGCCGGAGAACATGTGATTTCAATCTCACATCCCACTGGATCTGTAATCTCCTTCCAGCGGTACTTGGTTTGCGCATCCCAGAATTCATGCGACCACCGCGTCGCCGATCATGACTCTGTCATCGCTGCGCTGCCCGCTGGAACTGCAAACTAGGGCTCTGACCTTTCCCCTTTACGGGTTTGATGGTTTGCAGGCCTGCCTAGCTCTGACCTTTCCCTTTTACGGGTTTGATGGTTTGCAGGCCCGCCCTCAATTGCCGATGCTGGAAGGACGGAAATAATCCTCCCCTAAAACGTGTTGGCTCTGCTACCGACTGAAGTCCGGCGAACAGGGTGGGGATTGGCGGAGGTGCACGAACCGATCCGCTCCCATTGAAATCTGGTCTGCCTATTTTCTCCTTGATATTGGCCTAACAAAAATTGGCTTTGCAGCTTGGATTTCCACTATTAATCGTCGGAGCGCTACTAGCCGGCGAAGCTGGTACCGTCTGCCGGAGTTGGAGCGCTGCTGGTAGGCAGGGCAGCAGGAGGAAAACGCGATGCTCCTTGTGGAAGTGGCGTTTGGATTTCCCAGAATGAGAACCAGAATGAAAAGAAAAAATCGAAAAAAGTGATAGGAAACGAGAGCATGCTTGATGCTTTCGTCCATCTCAACGAGAGCACCATTGTTGGATTATGGAATCCAAGGGTAGAGGAGAAGGAGAAAATGTGTAGATGAAGAAGATGATGAATAGTGTTGTGTGGTGTGTGTTGAGCCTCCCTCTTTCCTCCCTCCTCCCTCTTCCAAGAAGAGGGGTATAAATAAGGGTGGAACCAGGGCTAGGGTTTCAAACTAATGGGCCGGCCCAAGAGGCTGGGCCGTCCCTAAATAAATAATAAATGTACGACTAACGGGCTAGTCCAAGATACTGGACTGCCTCAACTAATATTATACAAAGACCGAATACCCCCCGTCCAGGGTAACCATTAGAGTATAACATTACCTTATATAATTAGTCATTAATGTGGAGGATTCTAGAATATATTCCGCCACATATAAATACATACATTGTATTCCTCTCTTATTAATCAAATCAATAAAGCATTTTTTATTATTTTATCAGAGCCTTTGCTCTTGGTGATGTAATAGTTTTTGCTTCTGCCACCGCTGCCGCTGGTGGTTTGTCCGACGACGGTGGCCCCTTTTTTACTTTAGCTTGTTCTTCCTTTGATCCTAATTCTTTCATAATTCCATCTAGCAATATATATATATTCCCAGCCAACCACAACCGTCTGTTTCTAGATCCATCACCGCCGCTTCTTGATTTAAGATGAGATTGTAACATCAACTTGCTCAGTAGGCATATCTTCAGTCAACAAGCACCCCTAACAACACTTCATTCTTTTTGTTTCTCCTCTAAATTAGTTGTGCACGACTCTAGCGCACGTCAACCTTCTCCCTCTTTCGACGTCAGCACCATGAGTCTGTTCGAAGCGACTTTTCTCCTCTCCTCATCAGCGCCATCAGATCTCTTTCCTGGTAATCTTTCTTCTTCTCTTTTTGGCCGGATGCATTCAGTCTACTCAAGCGGAAGATATGCCTCTAGCTTTTGATTAAGATTCTGGTCACGATTCAAGTAAAAGTTGGCGTTCAATCTTCACCTTTCAAGACGTTGGTAGCATGTTAAATATATTAATTATTTTAATATATTTAGTATTAATATATTATAATTATGGTTGTTACCTATTAGAGTTAGAGTTATTATTATATAATATTACCTTTTATAATTAGTCATTAATGTGGAGGATTCTAGAATATATTCCCCCACCTATAAATACATACTTTGTATTCCTCTCTTATTAAACGAATCAATAAAGCGTTTTTTTATTATTTTACAACGACAAACTGAGTCGGAAACATCTAGCTAGCTAAGACCTATATATAGGGAAAATATTTCTGTATTGAATTGTGTTATGAATACAAATATCTAACCTTCTTTATATAGGAAGAGAGTAAAGCAAACAAGGATATTTTTATTCTATTTTAAAACAAGAATTAAACGAATTAGGAAAATTACTAAACCGAATCCCAAATGCGGTTTCCCAAAGTCTGACGTACGTCGGTGGCTGCTAACGTCATTGGAGAAGAGAGAAGTTTGACGTGCACTGGTAGCTGCTAACGTCGTTGAAGAAGAGAGAAAGGGTTGACGCGCGCCTATAACGGCTGACATCGAAGAAGAACAGAGAAGGCTATTGGAGGTGCCTGTTTGATTGAAGATCCTTGACATTCTTTGTCTTTTTCTTGGATTCGGGAAATGCCCAGTTTCTTTTCTCAATTGGGAAAATTTGTATGACTTTCTTGAAGGGGTGAGTTTCGAGGTTTTCCTTCCTCTTTCTCTATTTCCCCCCTTGGCTTTACTTTTTATTTTGATTTATTTTGGGGTTTTTATTGGTTTAACAGAAGAGAAAAAGAAGGAAGATTGATGATTAGAATGAGTGATTTGAGAGAAAAAAATGGATTAGGAATTGGTGATGGAGAAAAGATTTGAGTCTGAGATTGGGTCTGAGATTCCCGATGTGGTGAATCAGAGAAAACAATTATCGTTTTTTACCTTGATTTTGAGAAGACAGAAAAACGACTTGAGAGAGTTTTTTTGAGAAGCTGTCGATCATTACAATTAAAGAAAGAACATCGATCCGGCAGGTAGCTAATGGAAGCGCCGCCTGCTAGAAGCAAGCACAAAGAATTTTAGGTCAGCAAGAGCGGTGGCTCTGATACCATGTTCAAATATTGGAATAATAATATTGCGCCTTGAATTATAGAGTACATGAAAGAGTATTTATAGGAGGGACTCCTAACACAACTAAAAATAAATAATGAAAACTCACCAAAATACTACATCTATCATAAATAAGAATAAAAAGCTGACTAATAATAAAATACTACCATGATCAATACTAACATAAGTAATACTGTTATTGTCTAAGAGTCTTAAAAGGTACTGGTCTTTTCAAAAGACCGATCCGGTGTGACTAGTCTTGTCTTTTTGCTCATCTCTAGCTATGTCGATCACCGTACAACCTCAATAGGAAACGAACAAAGCCGGCGGTGGATGACGAGCGGTGTGGATGGACGCTGGAGGTGAGATGGACTAGAAACAAGTGGCTGCCTAATCGGCTGACTGATGGAGGAATGACGGAGGCTGAACCGGCGACACACCAACGGAGGACGACCCTAGGTTTTTCAAAACTAAACTTGCTCTGATACCATGTAGAATTTTGGAAAATAACTTCTCAACGTTTCATTATGCACAAGATCGAGTATATATATAAAAGTAAACAGGTCGTAAGCGCAAACATAAACTACAGACCTAAATACAATTAATTACATAAAATAACAAATACTCTACTAATAAACCGGTCCTGATCTGTGACACAAATAATTATCGTACTATAAAATGATTTGTAATTCTGATTCGTGAGGATGCTTGTGCTGTGTTTTTACACATTATTCTTTAGCGAAATGCACATTGGGGTGTGGATAGAATCTTATCTTTTCAGCTTGAAAGAAAACTTTCCTGCAGTTATTGGAACATTCCGTCGACTTATATGTATCCTTGGAGCATCTAACGTTTTTAAACTGAATGAATGAATGGCGATCGTTGCGTACTCATGTCGCAGTCATTAAGATTGAAAAAAATGTACTACTAATCAAAGCGTGATGAGTGCCGTTGGTTTTAGCAAAATACCATTCGTCCAACTTGTTTTTTTTGCCCGATCGAATCTTAGAAAGTGTCCTTTTTTAAGTGGATATTTGCAATTCTGAAAAGGATCAAGCTATTTGTACACCAAAATTTGTATCTCAATTTGTACCCAAAAGGCATACACTGACATTTTGTGCTAGTGTGAGACTAGTGTGATAATTTACATTGACGAGAAATATCAGTGCATTTTTGTAATAGAACTAACATTTTGTGTCAGTGTGAACCGTTAAAATGTCTGTACATTTCTTTGGGGTAGAAATTACGGTACACTTTATGGTTGTTCTGAAAATTGTTTTTGAACTTCTATTTCTTTAAAAAACACGGAGTACAAATGTACAACATCTACTCCGAGCCCTTCTGTTTATGGATAATAATTTTATTTTTATAAATTCAAAAGAAGTACAGAAGTACTTTAAGCAAGACAGAGACTAAATTTTTTGTGTTTACATTTAGAGAGCGTCTAAAATGACACTAGTTATTTATACACTTAAATTAGCGTGTCAAGTCAACACGGAAAGAACATTCCCTGACGAGAGAAGTATTTATTTATCCCATTAATAATTAAAGTGTTTCATACCATTTACAAAAGAATGAGCCCCATCCTCGATGCCCATCTTAAAACTGGTTGGACACACATTAGAGGAGGTAAATGAAACTATAATTACATATTGGCTGACAAAAGGTAAAGTCTTCGCCTAATAGTTGCAGTTGTCCTTTGCTTAGGATAATTGCCTCTCAACTCAATTGTCAGGAATCGAACTCGGATTTATTTCGTTCTGCACTCTTTTCTAAAAAAGGATGAACCTCACCCCTCAGGCCCCCTCAGACCCCGTCGGATGGTCATTAAGAGAAGGTAAATTAGACTTTGATCACAGATTGGTGACAAAGAGTGAAGCTTTCACCTATTACTTGCAGATGCCCTATGCTTATCATAGTTGCTTCCGAGCGCAGTTACCAGGAATCGAACACGAGTCTTACCCCTTATGCCTTACACTTGCCTTGGTCAACTGCGCAACCGATTTTGCACTCTTTTCTCAATGAGCAGAGCTAGACCATTCAAAAATGCAATGAACGAAGACCCAAAACAGAGGACACATTACTGTGGTCAGGACGGCATACACGTACATGGCCGGTCAATCCTGGTTGTGGTTTTATCTACTTACGTACTCCCCCTATTTATTTTGCGTTGTTGTTGACATTTGTATAATGGGTGGGAAAATGATAGCCATGGAAACGGATGATTAGTGATGAATTGATACCTCCAATGATCCCACCACACCGGCCGTGTGTATTCATACTTTAAGACTTGGTCGGATTTCTCAACTTGTTCCATCACAAAATTAAAAAAAGTTATACAGTTGTGTGATCGAACATTTTTTAGAAGGATTATGCTATATGTACCCCAAAATTTGTACCCCAATTTTTACCCCGCAGTTTTGCACCAACATTTTGTATTGGTGTAAAACTAATTTTTGTTAAACGCACTATCATTTGTGTCCGTGTGAATTTTTATTAACGCACCAACACTTGTGTCGGTGTAAACCATCGAAATGTTTGTGCAAACCTGTGGTGTACAAATGGGGTATATTTGTTGGTGTAAGTTTAGCATGGTCCTTTTTAGAAGAAAGGAAAGAAAATGAATGCACATACTCTTATCCTCCAGAAATTAACTTTTCTATTTCGAATAACGTGTAAAATCACATCATATTAAAAAAATTAATTTATTACAAATTAGTATAAAAATAAAAAAATACAAATTACATATTTTAATTACATCAAAATTCTATAAAACAAGATGTGATAATAATATTATATTTTATCTAATTATCAATGAAAACATACTAATAAACATATAAATGTTATTGAAAAAATTAAAAATCACCTTAAATAGGATTAAAATTTAAAGAAAAGTATCAAAATAGGACTTTCATATTTTTTTCCGAAATAGAACTTCACATTGTCGTAATGTGACACTGTACATGTCCATATTACAATATACTTTTTGGTAATGTATATGACCATGTTTTGTAATGTAAATGCATTTTAAGTCTTATTTCGTGTTGTGCTTTTCGTACTTCTATTAGTAGGTGATTAAGAAATTAGATGAGTGTTTGTATTGATAAAATTTAGGATGGGGTAGTGATTATTGGATTGGATAATAAGACACTTGGGTTGAACCACATTAAAATATTGAATCCAATCAATTAGTTAGTTAAACTCAAAAGTTCATTTGCAAGTGGTCAACCGGTTAGATTCAAAATGGCCCGGTTGTCCACTTGAGAGGGAGTGTTAGAGTCTATCCCACATCGGAAAGTTGAATAGAAAAGTTATCGGTATATAAGCTCTTGAGTTAAACTAACTAATCGATTGGATTTAATCTTTTAATGTGGTTCAACCCAAGTATCTTATTGCTCAATCCAGTCCTCCATACCGAATCCTAAATTCTATTATGTATGGGATTTATTTTTTAAAAAAGAATGATAAGAAAAATGGGAATAACATATTATTATAATTTTTTGTTTAAAAGAAAATTGGAAATTATATTTTTGGGGGAGTGGGGGTGGGGTAACGGAGGAGGAAAGGAGGAGGGGGGGGGGAGTACAATTGTGACTTATGCAATTTTGACTAAATCCGAATATTTTATTCCTACTGCATGCATTGATGAGCATCAAATATGANAAGTAAATTGTGGTAATTATAGTTGACATTACGATATTAATCTAATGGTTCCAAGCCTAGTCTCCTAGATTCCGGGATAAAACTATGCTACATGGAAAGGCCGTGGGAAGGGAAGGAGAATACCGCCTCCCATGCAGGAAAGAGAAAGGCGAGCGGAGTGTTTTTGTTGAATATTTTCCACATTTCTGAATACCATGGGTCCATTAAGACCACCGGTGTCTTCCTCCGATTTCTCATTTTCTTCATTTGCGGTTTACGCTCAAGGGCCAAGTTTTGTTCCAAATGCAACAATTTCAAGAATGACTAATTTCTTGAACTATATTCAAGAAATATAGTTCTTGAATAACATGTACATTAGAGGTAAGAACATAACAGGTACATTAGAGGGGTTGATTTCTAGAACTATATTCCAAGTAAGGACTCCTGCCATTATTGGAAAGACATGATCAGAATAAGAGAGTTGTTTACATCTGTAACGCCTTGCAACCTGACCTAATAGTTAGCCAATATTTTAAATAAATTAATATTATTTATTTATTGAGACTCATTATTTTAAATAATAAATATTGAGATTTCGATCTCATTAAATGAACTTCCAAAGTTAATACTTCCTCCGTCCCGGAAAACATGGAAGTTTTGGTTTTGGAGAGGATTTAAAGGGACTGTATTTTGGTATTGAATTTCCAAAAATGTCCTTTGATGTGATGAGTAAAAGTATGATTTGATGGATAGATTATTAGTAAAAAGGTGTGATGTGATACGTAGAGTATGAAAAAGTAAGGGGTAAAAGTGACTTTTTAATAGAAATGAGAGGTGTTTTTTGGGACGGATAAAAAAAGAAAGGAGAAAGGTTTTATGGGACGGAGGGAGTATATTTTAATAATGGACCTCTCAACATCAATTAATTAAATAAATTAATTAATGATTGGGATGGATCCGAAAGTTTGAAAACAAAATTCTTAGAAAAATACTTTGAAGATATCATAAATTTAGTTTTGACTGGTTATTTCCAAAAACGTAATCGGTTTTCAATTCAAGAAAGTTTGGGGGGAAAACCGTGTAGCGTTCAGGTCAAAATTTACACAACGGAATGAGATTTAGGGAGGTAAATCCCAAAAAATTGCTATTGGGTACCCTAAGTTTTGTAATAAAAACTATCGGGTACCTCCAATTTTAAAAGCATACTATCGGGTACCTCCAACTTTTCTAAAATTTACTAACAGGTGACTTTTTTGTCCTTCCGTCAAATGCTCCGTTAGTTTTCTTATTCACCATCATCATCATCATCTACTTCTTTCATCTACTTCCTCCTCCTCCTAATCTCCTCCTCCTCCCCCTTCTTCTCTTCCTCTTCTTCATTTGTTCTTCTCCTCCTGTGCATCGAGACCCCCACCCCATCCCTTTTGTTTTATTCTATTATTATTATTATTATTATTATTATTACTCCTATTATTCTTGTTATTATATTATTATAACAGTTATTATTATTAATATTATTAATTACAGTAGTAGTTTTACTACTATAAATTTTTAAACAAATACTAAGGCTCCCACCAAAAAATTTGTATAGGCCCTTTAACCTATCCCAATCTACTTGAGTAAAACAATGATAAAATCTTTTGAATTTTTTTTTGAATATTAGTTTTGGTGATATAATTATTTATAATTATAAATGGTTCACTTTCGTATTTACTTGGTTATAAACTTTACTACTTGCCATCCAAATTCGTTTACACTATTCAAACAATATATAAAATTTATTTTTTTTCAAATATGACTTTATCCATAAATTGTTATAAAAAATGTGAATTGCATATTTAAAAACTATCAAAGGTTCTACAAAGAAACATGAGACAAAGATATTGTATGTTCTGAAATGACTAATGAAAAATACACGAGCAAAGAAAATTTATTGGGAGACTCAAATAGTAAAAAGTTTTATAGTTAAGTAAATATCAATGTAAACAATTTTAAATTTATTAATTAGTCACAAATTGATTATAAAAACTAATTTTCAATAAAATATTTAAAATAAATTAGTCTATTTTTACCCAAGTAGAGATTGAGAAAGGTTAATGGTGGAATAAAAATATTTTGGTGAGGAATTAGAGTTATTTTTAGATATAGAGTAGTATAGCTACTAATTAAATTTAATAGTAATAGTAATAATAACAACAACAATACAACCATGTTAGGGATATACCAAAAAGCACACCACAAAATAAATGTATCGATATTTTAACGGTTCACTGACATAAAATGTTAGTTCTATTAAAATTTACAGTGACATTTTTTGTCAATGTAAACTATCACACTAGCACAAAATATCGGTATATATCTTTAAGATACAAAATGAACTACAAGTTTTGGTATACAAATAGCTTAATCAATAATAATAATAATAATAATAATAATAATAATAATAATAATAATAAGAAGTAAGTTTTCGAATTATATGGGTACCTAAGAGTAAATTTTTAAAATTGAAGGTACCCAACAGTTTTTATAACAAAATTAGGGGTACCCAAGAGCAATTTTTTGGGTAAATCCCTATTAGAAAAACGTCCCAACGCTAGAGGGGGTGAATAGCGTTTGAAACGAATATGACGCAGGAATAAAAAATTAAAGGCATAAAGTAAAGAGCAAGGAAGAGGCACACCGATTTTACCCTGGTTCACCACAACGTATGGCTAGTCCAGCCTCCCGAGAAACTCTCTCGAGCTACACTATCAATGTTAAGCTTAACAGTGCTTAACAAACCCGTACAACTTGAGAGTTTAAGTCACACGAAACTCAACAATCCTTCAAATGAAACAACCCTTCCTTCGAACTACTCAAGAGAAAAACTTTCTCTTATCAAGTGTCTAAAAACACTAAATCACGGCGTAAAGTAAAGAGCAAGGAAGAGGCACACCGTTTTTACCTTGGTTTACCACAACGTGTGGCTAGTCCAATAGCACAACACCCGCTACCATATATATGACGCATATGTTCAATTATAAAAACGTATAGGTTCGAGGTGAATATATTTCACTTGATGAGCGGACAAAAAAAATACATCTAGATCGTCATGCAGTACATCACTTGTCCCATTCCCATGGTGAACATCAAAATCAATGATAAATACTCGTATCGATTCGCGCACAAGTTGCGCATGGCGTGCCACAACGGCCATATTCCCAAATACACAAAAGCCCATAAGTCCCATTGGTTCGCCCGTTCTCCCGGGTTTCAACGGGCCAGCATTAAAACAGGTTTATAGGGTGAACTCGACCGAACGGGTAGTGGTCCAACCGGTTAGACCGGCCGGTCTGGTCCTGTTTTAATTACATTGGTGGGTATAGCATGATGTCCTGGAGGTCTGATCATAGCAAATCCAACAGGACGATTCAAGCTCCGTTTTGATGCTGCAATCTGAAATATGATAGAACAATATGATTAATTTGATATCCCTGCACTCTCTCTATCATCTCTATGTATCTACAAAATATACTCTAGTTCAACTCCAAATTTATTTGACACTAATCAAAAAGTTTTTTAAAAAAAATGAATTCCATACCTGAATTCTTTTGTTTATTAAGGATGAACAAGTGAACAACTTTTTTTAAAGTGACAGATAGAGACAACACCACTGAATCAACCACTACAACTGCCAAAAGCGAATCCTCGAAAATCTGCATCAATAATACCTTCATCAGGAATAGCATACAGAACATACTTCATATCAAAGTACCAAATCCAAACTACTCAACAGGGGCAATCAGCACATTTAGATACATAATTCAGATATCATGGAATGGGTAAATGTATTGGAGAAAAGAGCAAATAAAACGCAAAAGAAAGTTTATGAGGATAATTTGGAGACATTAATTGGCTTGTGAACAGTAAGTAATTCCATTTTGAACAATGGCCGAGGTTGATTCAGTTGTGTTGTCTCTATCTGTCATATGGCAGGTTACCCCATGCCATTTCGAACAATGGCCGCTTAAGAAGCTTGAAATTTCAACTCAAGCTTGGCTCGTTCGGTTCATCAGTCCATGAGCCGGTTCATTTAATTTTCTAACGAGCTTCAATGGATTGAATGGAACCAAACTCCAGGTAGCCCACAAACTGACTCGACTTATTTAAAGCACTATTCTTATTGTTTGAAGTCTAGTTCTGTCTCTATTGATTCAAAACTCACACGCAGAAAAACACCTATTCCATATTTCTCCATGCACACTGACCTTCTAAAAACTTGATGGATCTTCAACACACACACACATACACACACAAAGGCAAAACTTGAGTGTCGAGCCTTGAAACTTGTTCTAAAGGGCGAGACCATGCAATCAATGAATAGTTTAAGAATGTTCAATCATCAAATGTCATGCTTTCAGACTTGCCAATTTAATGATGCAGTATGCCAAATATATTGACTTGTTTGTGTGTGACTCGTTGAAACCCTAGGCTCTTACAAACTACAACTACATTCACCAGTATAAAAAAACATCAAGAAAAGTATGAGAATGTCAACGTTAACTGTGCAAGGGGGTGAGTTTCACAATGAGCTTTTGTTTTTTCACTTCTTTCTTCAAATTTTTACCATCTTCCAAATGACTAGAAGTAACCAAATACAAAGCAGCGCACGAGAGGAGAAGATAAAAAGTACCACAACCATAATACATAACCTGCTCGAGAGCAGCAACATACACTTCGAAATTTCATCCACAGACATGGGCTTGAAAGTTTTAAGTTCAATTATACCTGTACATCGAAACTGAAATATAGAAAACATTATTAATTAGAACTTTTTATTAAGGCTGAAGTTTGGGTGTGTTTAGAGATGGAATGGGTAAATGTAATGGAGAAGGAAGCACATAAAACGCAGAAGAAGGTTTATGAGGATGTTTTGGAGACATTAATTGGCTCGTGAACAGTAAGTAATGAACAATAATGGTTTGGTAGTAAATACGGAGAAAAATATTCTTTGCGTGAGCTTTCTATAGTATCACAAGAATGGTTGAATGCCATCATAACCACAGTTGAATTATATCACAAGGTGGATAGAAAAAGTAGTTTTATTGCCTTCAATAATAATAATAATAATGATAATAATAATAATAACAATAATAATAATAATAATTACAACAATAAGAATAAGAAGAAGAATAACAACAACAACAACATCAACAATAATAGAATGCAATTCTAAATACCTTTGATGTGAGCTTCATCTTTTCGAGGGCACTCACAATTGAAGGAACTCTTAGGTGGGATTCTGGATGCGATTCCTGTGGGAAGGGAGGAACAAATTGCAAAGAGTACATGGAAAAGCGAATGCTTCATACACACATGTACTGCCACAAGTAAGCAGGTATGATATTCCATGCACATCAAATAACCATTTCATTCTATAAACTCACTAAGACGCAATGTTTACTGCCAGCATTATTATGAACTTCCAAAATCATGAACATTCTATAAATTGCATTTAGCTTTACATATTTTATCTGTCATATTTCCAGAAGTCCTAAGATATAAAAAAGTATAATATGACCCAATTGATTAAATGTCAACCGATTTTCACATTCCAAAAATTGAATGTTGTACTAACAAAATAGAACCTGTATAAATAGGAAATATAAAAAATATTGTATTCTACTTGGACTTTTTATATCTCTCATTTCAAAATTATTTAATTAAAAAGTGATGCAAAAATTCATCGTGTGGGGAAATAGATTCAATTTTGGGGTCAAACCAGTTTAGACTACACTCCGTGTGTTTAGTAGTCTCCAAAGCTATTATGGTCATGCAAAAGCAAAACATAAGATATGGCTAAAATGCATCACTTGCATAAGAATCTCAATTTCATAACTTCAGATGGCAGATAAGTATAATTGAATAAGCCCGATGTACATCAATGTATCCCAGGTCAAGGGGATCGCAAGTTGGATGTCGATTCTACAATGTAAAAGGAGTAAAGGACAAGAAAAAGGAAATACAACACCAGGTAAACAAGCCAAATTGGCTTAGTTTAGCGAAGGTGAGCCCATGACCAAGCCTAAAACCTTGAAATTGTACAAATATTTCCTACATCTTATTCGAAAATGAAGACAAAAAAGGTTCCACGGTATTACTATTTCTATTTTAATGGACCCAAGACCAATAGATCGAAACAGAAATACAATTCTTGAATTCAGAACTGGAAAAGATGGAAGTTTGAAATGCACTTGTCAAAACATGGTATATCCGTTAGTCCATATGACAAAAATACTGGAAAGAATTTACCTGGTGATGACCCATAGAACGTGCTACAGTGCAGATCACTCGTGCATAGGTAAGCCCTTGAATAAACGGTACACTTGGATTCTTCTAAAAACCAGAGGAAATAGAATATCCCATACTTCTTGTACAGCGTTTCCGCCAAATTTTTGCCTGCTTCTTTGCATGGGTCGCACCTTTTTGAGAACAGGTTCCCATGAAAAATTTAAAAAGATTAAGATTATTGTTAGTGGTTATCAGTCCATGGTAAATTAAAATATTACTGCAAAGAGATGACAGGTTAATTTTGGGAGTAGGGAGCATAGTGTTATGCATGAGTAATAACACAGTAAAGAAGTAAAATTGAGAGCAGCACACTAGGAGGAATGAGTGATCATAACTGTACCAAGTCTGCAATTATTGAGGCTCCAATTGCATGATACATATACAACTGATAGCGGGATGCAAGAAAGAATGCTTTATACATACTTCCACAATCCCAAAACTAAATTGATCAGGATAGTTGACTAAATTCATTTTTTATTCAATGTATTTTAATAACGGAACAAAATGCTAGAAAAGAATTCATATATTTGAAAGCTACATCAAATCCTCTATAAACCAGAGGTGACAAGACTATGTTATTTTAACAAATGAGTAAAAAATATAAGTAAAGAAAGAAAAAAAGTTTGACAAGGTTACGTTATTTTAACAAGACTATGTTATTTTAACAAATGACTAACGAAAATTATACAGAGAGAAAAAAGTTTGACACCCAAATAATTACTGTGAATTTAGTTCTAACAGGGAGTATAACATTATAAACTCTTCATCGGCTTTTGATAAACAAAAAAATTTAAAACCAAATCCTCTCATTCAGCCAAAATTGCATGCCTATTCCCCATAAAATTGATGTACGTTTATTCTATTTAACTTATTCCCACAAATGAAGCATTTAATCTGAAATCTGCTGCCTAATTATTTTACCTACTTGATTGTTACTGGAAAAAGATGATGTAAATCTCACGGGACTTCTGGAACCATAACATTTCTTCTTGTTCCATAATAAGTCCTCTATCCTGTTGAAGGTACGGTTCCAGATTCCTGAGGGATGCAGGCTCCCTATCCTCTAAGCTGCGCTGGACCCCCACAATTCTTGCATCTAATCATCGCTTGGGCCGGAAGATGATTCTGAACACATTCTTTCTCCTTGACCGCAGATAGCTTATCAATCACGCCCCCTTGGGAGAGGAACATGCATTAGACAAAACCCTTTGTTGAACTTTTGCCGCGTGTTTACTCGAAACAAAACAGTTTCTTAGCAGCTCCTCGGACCAGCCCATGTGGTCTAACAAGCAGTGGATGGTGGTCTGAGTAAACACGCGGCAAAAGTTCAACAGCAGCCTCAGGAACACTAGTCCTCCACTCGGCATCCATAATTACTCTGTCAAGTCTTTTAGAGATCATAACCTGCCCTTGATTGTTTCTTTGCCAAGTGAACTTGCCCCCGATCATGCCCGGGTCAAGGGAGAGCAATTGACCACACACGCTTGGAAAAGCTCTGCTATGCTGAGGTAATGTTCACCCCTACAAACCTCGTTTTTCGGGCGGATCTCTCTGAAGTCTCCAGCGAAGAGCCTTTGGTTGTAAAAGCCGCGAAGAGCCACTGGTTGTGGAAGCCGCAAAGAGCCAGTGGTTGTGAAAGGTGGTTCTCACATCAAAAAGGTAAGACCAGAGTGTGCATCGTCTTTGGAGACTAGGGTTCCCATAGATGGCGGATCACACCCACGAACTGCCTCCTTTAGAGAACTTGAAAGAGAGAGCCTGATCAGCAGAGTCCAACACATCATAAGTGGTGCAATGCTCATTAGACAATACCCAGATACCCCCACTGTGACCAGCCGCTTCCACAACACCCACACCTCGATAGTCAAGTGCTTCCCAGAAGTTAGCAACTTTGACGAAAGGCACATTGGTCTCATAAATAATAACCAGAGAATGTTAATATTTAGCTAGGTAATCCTTAATTTGTCTCTTCGCCCATGGAGATGTTCACAAGGTGCCCGTTCACCGCATGCCTCGTCATTGGCTAGAGAGTTCAGATCAATATCCTTGAAAGATGGTTCCGGGCCCTTACCCGTGTAGGGGGTGGGAGGGAGCCGGGCAAACTTGGGTTGCTCAAAACACGAACCCTTTTCTTACTGCTAGAAGGCATGAATTGCGCACATAGTAGTTTTACTTGCTGGGTGTTGGGGCAACTGGATGTCCCTGGAATGGAATATGACGGAGGGGCTCCCTTCTTTGTGGTCCGGCTACTGCTCTTCACGGGGGCAACAGGACGAGGGATGGTGAATTTTTCCTGTCCCCGTGGAGTAGGGGTTAGTTTTGTACAACCACTTTCCTAACGAAAGTTTACAGGCAAGGAAAGATCAATCTCCACACATGCTCGGATGAAGCGTCCTCTTTCTGGTGACCTTGTGGTGAGGTCTACCTTGATTGGTTTCTAAATGGCTAAGGGGATGCAATTGACTGCCTCTTCCAGGTGATACCATATGTTCACCCATGCCAAACTGATCCAAACAAGAGTGGACCCAAAGGAATCTTCCTGTGGTCAGAACAATGGCATCCCTGGCTTAACGGAAATATAATTGCCTTGCACGATCCGTGGACCGTCGAGAAGTTCACACTCCCGATCCTTCAGCTTCAGTGTATCAAATTAGGCCAAAAAATAGTTCCATGTCTCTCCGTAGACGCCATACCCTCTGAAGACGGGAATTGAGCGCAGTGAAGCTGAGACGCGAACAGAGAGCACCTAAACAATGTTAATACACAACTAATTCTTTTAAAACAAAGTGACTAGATGAATCAGTAAGGAAATAATAGTGACATGAGCACTCAAAACCTAATCAAATGTACACCAATCATAATGAACTGGAAAACATTAAGAAAAACAGGACAGGGTTCAAACGGCATTGCTCATCAAAATTACTCCATAAATGATTTTCAATCCTGCAAGAAACATTAATGGGAAGTGGGAACTGTAGAACACATGAAAACTCAAGTAAAATGAAGTGAAAACTTTAGCTGTTGCTAATGAGGCCTGAACTTCACATGTCATCACCGATACAAGCTGCTAAATTTCTAAAACCCTAACCCCGCGAATCTCATGTCTAAGGACATATAAACCATAAGTAAACAAATAAAAAGACAGTATATACAAGCAACATAGATGGATAGGATACTTACGGCGACGATACCGGAATCTGATCACCGCCTGAGAAGATATTGCCGACCGAATCCAATAAAAGTCCGGAACTAGGACAGGGTCGGTGCGTCCAGAACTAGACCGAAAACTATGCTAACAGATACCTTAACAAATATTTCTGTTCGAGATATGGGATTTTACTCCAGATTTAGATTTTAAATATGGATTCGGTATGGTTCGGGATGGTTCGGTATCGGTTTCGTTACAAATTTGGATGAATATACATACCTACTTTACACCTTAAAATTTAACAATGCCTCTTTATTTTTTAAAATTAAAAGTGAATTTAAATTTAAAAAAAACATGAAAAATTTAAAAAACATTGAATATTTAAATGAAAGAGATGCGTATCAAAACTTAGTTTATATTTCACAAACCAAAAAAATGAACGACAACAAAGGAGTATTTCGAATCTTTGTAAATACTTTTATATTCATATACAAACACTAAAACTCAAATAAAAGTAAAATTTACACATAATAGAACTTGAACCATTTTTTTAAAAAAATTATTATTTAGTGAAGGAATATAAACATATTACTCCGAGGTATTATTTTTATAATATTTTAGTATATATGTTCGGTTCGAGATTTTCGGAATGGGACGTCATCTCGTACCGTTACCAAATACCGTACCGACCATTCGATTCTGTACGGTTCGGTTCCTTCTCGGTACTATTTCAGTTCGATATTTTTCGGTTCGGTATTCTCAGTTTTTTCAGGAAAACTTTGGTATCAGTTCGGTACTTGCTCACCCCTAGATACTGCCAGTATCGATCCTAATACGGATAAGTATTAATTTTTTTTGTTACAGTTTGTGATTAACGAAAAATGGTTAGTTTTGAGACTTGAACTTACTACGCATAAAGATGAACTAAAAATATTAGTGATGGACAAAAATTTCACCAAATAATCTGACTCAATGGGCGAACCGTAAAAATAATATTGATTCAAGAACTCGAGAATTGCGAGATTATACGCTACGTTTTGCTTGAGGATCCTTGCTCCGATCCTCTCTATTTATATATATATATATATATATATATATATATATATATATATATATATATATATATATATATATATATATATATATATCTACATAATTAAGGTAAGTATTGATTATGGAAGCTAATTCTCGTGATTTGCGCGATCCTATTTCTCCGGCTCTTTTCCCGCAACCTAGCCGTGTTATCCTACTTAGCAGGCGGACTCTCAACAGCTCTTTAGTTTGGGTCATCTCAGGCCCAAAGCCTTAGGCCGGCCTGATACTGACTTCAAATACCCGTGGGTCCCAAAACACACCTCGACACATAGGTTGGGGTGCCCGGCAGGTAACGGCCCATCACAAGCCCCCCAACTCCTCATTCCATCAGGCGGGCCACGTTGGGGAATGGGGAGTTTCCGAAGTCCAGGTGTGCCTCCCCACAATGAATCTGAGTCGCCCCTTGATATTCGTGCAGTGGTTGGCTCGATTGCCCAAACGCAATCATCACCCGTCTTCTCATCTTCTAGTTCCCATCAGGCCGATCAACCGGCTCATTCCGGCCAGGATCAAGGCCCATCCAGTCCACCTCAGCCATCGTCAGCGACTGTGTCCGGATGGAAACGGCGGGGGTTGGGGAAACAGTTCTCTCCCCCAAAGCCCGTGTTACGAGGTCCTACGGTTGAGCTGGAGGAGAACATCATGGCTCTATGCCATTGCCAAATCTTGGATCAGGGCTTCACCGACGCCACTGATATGGTCGGTCCCGCCATTGATGTTCGGTGGCCCAGTAAGACCGAGACCGCCTTGATGCTCCCTAGGGGTTCTTCACGGTCCAACTCGCTTCCTTCAAGAGGGATCTGCGACTTCCTTTGCACCCTCTTCTTGTGGAGTTCCTGAATGAGGTGGATCTCCTCCCCTGCCAACTAGTCCACAACTTCCATCGTATATATATAGCGGGCTACTTGGTCAAGTGCCGGGAGGCCGGGGTGACTCATAGTCTTGACCACTTCTTGTTTACGTTTAAACTCGCCAAGGGCCACAAGGACTGGGCCTCCTACGCTTGCCTCACCCAACGGACGAGCAAGCTTTTTACAGGCGACAAGAAGGGTTCCACCAAGGGCTGGAAACCCTTCTTCATCTTCATCTCTACCGGGCCCAAATCTTCTTTTAGAAGCTCTAAGCATCCCTCATTGCGTCGCGTCAAGCCACCGCCGGTGACAGCCAAACTCGTGGCTGACACAAAAAAGCAATGCCACCAGGGTTCCATTGAGATTAAGACGGTGGTCACCGAGGAGTCCCTCGCAGAGCTCGGGTTTGAGTTCGTTAGAGACGATCATCACCATCAGCCGACCTTGCTAAGGGATATTCACAGGAGGAAAGCCGATTCGGGTCCNCTAATCCCCTTATCTGTTACCAATTGCACATTAATTGATTGCCTTGTATTTTTCAGTCGAGCCAAAAGGGGAAGTAGAAGACGACATGGATCAACATCTATTATTGCACCGTCTCTCGGGAGACCAAAAGAAGAAGAGAAAGCGGGACGCAGCTCCCCATGGCAAAATGAAGCGTCCGTCCTTGAGCCACGGGGATCGCTTACTGCTTGATCAGGTGGTGATCGACGTGGAGGGTCAAGGGGAACCGACTCCCGTGGCAAAATGAAGCGTCCGTCCTCGATCCACGGGGATCGCTTCCTGCTCGATCTGTCTGGCGCGACCAAAGGCAAGTCTTCGGAGCAACCTCCTCTCTCGCCTGCCATGACCTTTGACATGGAGACAGGAGGTGGTTCAACATTGTTCAGCGTCCCCCACCGTCCCTCTTGGGCGTTGTGGAGTTCCCCGTGGAGACGAAGATTACGCTCCCTTCTGCCGACTAGGCCCGTTATACTTCCAGCTCAAGGCGCGACCTAGCCGACATGGTTCTCCAAATATTCAGCCAGGTACTTGCCTCAACTGTTCTCTTTTCCATTCACTATGTTTGTCTTCTTTCTCCAACTTTTCAAATTTTGGTGCAGGCCTCCCTTGGGGTGTTTGAGCTCGCTCGTCATGCGACCGCCCACCAATCCGCCTTGGACGAGGTGAAGGAGGCGCCTGAGGCTGAGAAGAAAGAGCTGCGGACGAGGTTGACCGCCTCGCCTAGGAGCTGCTGGAGGAAGGGCATCGCAGCTCTAACCTCCAATGTCGCGTTGGGCATCTCGAGAGGGAGAAACACAACCTTTAGGCTCGAGCCACTCATCTGGAGGAGGAGAAAACTTCACTATCTTATGAAGTTGTGTCGGTTTCTGCCCAGGTGGCCGAGCTAGAGGTCGAGAAGGGCGACTTGGTCCGTTGTCTCAAGGAGGTAGTCGAGACCTTCAAGGCTTCGCCATAGTTCCACGTGACCGCTATGAAGCAAAAATGGACTAGCTGGTCACTACGTGGAAGATTAGCTGGTCGAACAATCAGAAGTTTCCAGGCCCTAAACCGTTTTCGTCACAAGCTGGCTCTGTTTCCCAAGGGGACTTCACTTCCTGACTTCGGCGTTTCCCTCTTTGTGACGATATTCAGGAGTTTGATCCCACGCCCTACAAGAAGGAAGTAAACTTTAACGACTCCGAGGAGGAGAGCGAGGGAGCTAGCCCGAGCGACCAAGGAAACCATGCGCGGTCAAGGAGAGAAAACTGACCAGGCAGCGACCAAGGCAGATGGAGACCCCAGCGCCAGCACTTGAATGACCCACTTCGGTCTGTTGTTTATTTCTCAATTGAACTTGTAAAACTTCTAAGTATTGGGACTTTACCATTATATCAGATTTATATTGCCTAGAAGTTAAATGCACACTCTGCATTTACGGACGTATTCCGCACAGTCTCAGATGATCGTTGGCCAAAAGTACCCCTGCAAAGTCACCTTTCTAGACATCATCAAAGCCCCTTGGTGCACCGAGCATATTCCTTCATGGATTTGTTAGAAAAATGTCCCAACGCTAGAGGGGGGGCGAATAGCGTTTGAAACGAATATGACGCAGGAATAAAAAATTAAAGGCATAAAGTAAAGAGCAAGGAAGAGGCACACCGTTTTTACCCTGGTTCACCACAACGTGTGGCTAGTCCAGCCTCCCGAGAAACTCTCTCGAGCTACACTATCAACGTTAAGCTTAACGGTGCTTAACAAACCCGTACAACTTGAGAGTTTGAGTCACACGAACCTCAACAAACCTTCGAAGGAAACAACCCTTCCTTCGAACTACTCAAGAGAAAACATTTCTCTTATCAAGTGTCTAAAAACACTAAATCACTCAAGAACAATACTCTCTTTTAGAGTGGATATTGAGTAACTAAAAACGCTCAAGAACACAACACGAACTTCACAAAAATGGCTCTCGAATAGCTATGAAAAATGTGTGAATGTAATGCAATGGATAATATGAGTTGTGAAGTAATGTGATGTGAAAAGCAGACCCAAACACCCCATTTTATAGTAGAAAAATAGGCTCGAACGGGTAGAAGTAGAATGGGGGTGATTGACATAATTTGTGGGATTTGATTAAAATTGGATCTGCTGAAAATCACCTTAACAGCGCTGTCCATTACTTGAACATCGTTGTTGTAGGCTTAGTTTTTGAAAAATGGGAAGCAACGGTCAAGCCAACAGCGATGTCCAAAAAGCCAACATCGTTGTTTTGGCTGTTGACTTCCAAACATGGAAATTTCCAGCCATAAATTCCTTCCAACTGTCTGGTGCCTACATCGATGTTCATTACTTGAACATCACTGTTCAGGCCGGACTTTGAAGAATCAAAGGTGGCGTGACATCGCTGTTGCAGGGTCAATAGCGCTGTCCAAAGACTTTCTACCAAAGGCATTTTCTTTTGGCTTAGGAGGTTGAACATCGATGTAGAGAAGTCTACATCGCTGTTCTAGATGTTTCTGGAATTTTCGACCTTGGCTCAACAGCAATGTCCATTGACCAACATCGTTATTGGAAGACTTAACACCAAACCATGATTTTAAGCTGTCAACGCCAGACAGCGCTGTTAGTCACTCCAACAACGGTGTTGGGCTGGTTCAGCCAGACCCATGGCTGGTTAGTCATGCCGTAAGCCGATGTCAAAAACAAAGTTATCTAAAATAAAACCCAAGTGTTGAAAACATTTGTTTAATGTATTTTGGTAATAAATCAAGTGAGACATCTCAGAAACCACGTCATTTAGGTAAGAACCACGGCTAGCTAAGTTCATGTTGTTTCGCATGGTTTTTACCAAGCGACCAAAAACAAAAGGTGGTTTTTGAAGAGTTTTTGTTGGAGAACTATTTAAATGTGCCTAGATGTAAAAACCAATCATAAAAAGTTGAAAACCACTTGGTTGGTTCGGACGCCAAAAACCAATGCCGATAGCTGAATGCCGAACGCTGGTTTCTAAAAGCCAAACGACAGATGGCTTGCATGGTTTTTGGTTAGGGCGAACACCGAGTGTTTTAGGGTTATTTAAAACTTATTAAAAACATTTTTGAATATGCAAAAAAAGGTATTTTAATGTAATGAACCTAGAGAGCCAAGTTTAGAAGTTTGTGTCGGTTTCGATCACATAAGGACTGACTCAACTAGTTTCTAAATCTTCGTTTTTGATTCTTGGTTCTCGGTTCTCATTTTCAATTCATCATCACGTCATGTTTCTTCGCCTTTGATTTGCTCAATTTGCTCTTGTTTTCGCGGCGGTTTGGCATTATCAAAATCTGTCATAAAATGAACACAGTTTAGTACGATGTACGCGTAAACCCGTGTTCCAACAATTTCCCCCATTTTGATAATGGGAAACAATATAGGGATATGCATACTAAGGGATATTTGAATTTCAAAAAGTGTGGAAAAAAGTTCCCCCTTAGAAAATTGTCGTTTTAAAAGCAAACGAAACATTTTAGAAACGTTCCCCCTTAGTATATGCATAGCCCTTTTCTTCCCCTTTTGACATTAACAAAAAAATAAAACATAACTTTTATTTATTAAATTGGGAAAAGGCAGAGTACAACGGAAGCGATCAATTAAAAAAACATGACAAATTAAGGGAAAAAGATAGAAAATCTAGGTGCGGCCTAGTCTTCGTCTTCCTCCTCTTCGTCTTCGGGTTGGAGTCTCAATGGGCGGGTTGGAGTCTCTACCGAGGAATCCGTTAGGTAGAACATTGACTCCCGTATGTATGTTTTGAACACTGGACCACTGGATATGCAAACATGCTCCACAAGGCCCGAACCTAACAACAGTCTTATTGGTGGATAAATTATCCAATTCAATTCAGATCCGCCTAGGTATACTAGTTGGCCAATTTTCAACAGAGTTCTTAAGTGACAACAATCACTTAAACACTTCCATAAATAGAACAACACCCTCAGCGGCCTATCGGAAGAATTACTTCTCACCGATTACCGTCATGCACAAACAACAAGATCAAACCCAACGATATTAAAATAACTTACCTGTGTCGCGAACTTGGGACTAAGGACTTATCCTCAAGCCCGCTGCACCCGCCGGAACAATATCAATTACCACCAGATCAGCCCGACAATCTGCCGGACCGACCCAGCGACCCAGAAATCAACCAACCAAGCCCTCCCAACGGCTGCCCACCGCCCGGCAGCCCTACCACCGCCTCGGACAGCCCCAAGCCCTCCCAACGGCTGCCCACCGCCCGGCAGCCCTACCACCGCCTCGGACAGCCGGTCCAAACCGGCCCAATGGCCCAAACAACCGGTCCGGGCAGCCCAAACAGCCGGCACAGACAGCCCGGTCAACCCAAACACCCCAACCGGATCTAAACCAACCCGTTTACACTAGAACCAACCCAATTGGAACCCGGACAGACCCAATTGAACCTATTTGATTTCAATTGCACAAGGATCAACCCAATTGGACCCGAATTGGGTCCAAATTGGACCAATTGGGGTCCAAATTGGACCAATTGGGTCCAAATTGGACCAATTGGGTCCAAATTGGACCCGTGGAAACCGTCCACAGTACAGGCCGCAGCCACCACCGGCCAACCGCCGGCGGGTCGCTGGAAACTGCCCCACAACATCCCCCAAATTCCAAACCCAAACAATTCAACATCCAAGTCAATTATTCCAACAATCAATTCACACAAATTCACAATCAATCGCAAGAATCATACAAACAAGATCCTAATCTACGAATTAACGCTAACGGAAGATATTTGGGCAGCGAATCACCTCGAAATTGCAAGAGTTGAAACCGGGTTGGAAGGGAGAGAGGTTGCCGCTGCCCTTGTTTGGCGATGCCTGCTGTGCGACGGGGAAAAGGAGGAACGGCGGCGACGACGGCGGCGCCCTGGCGGGCTCGGCGCACTGCTGCTGCTGACCGACGAAGGGTGACTGAAACTAGGCAGGGACGAACGGTAACGGACGGGTCGCAGTAAGAGAGAGACGCAAGTCTCGTAACCCCTTCTATTTAATACTCCCTCCTCCTTGCTAAAACTTACTCCCCCAGTTGACTTTTCTTCATTTAAGGAATTGTATAATTAGGCTTTGACTTCCCATGTTACTCTCTAACAAAAAAAAGTTGGAAATTGAAAAAAAAAATACGCCATTAGAGAGAAAAGCACACAAAACATTCCATTAATTATTAAACACAAAACATTGAATTTAACATAAACAAGGAAAGCCCCCTTGTAAAGCAAAACTCTGAAACCCACTAGCATTACACAGTCAAGAGGGAGCAAAATACAGTCAATCCCTCCAAAATTTCAGTTTGGAGGGAAACTTCCCTCCAACACAAAAACAAAAACTGCAGATTCTCTTGCAACTACTACACTATAAAAAGCAAACCTTTCTACTTTTAGTAACCCCAATACTCTTCCTTCCTTCTCCTCTCTTCCCATCAGTTATGCCCCTCCTGTGGCAGATTCTCCTGCTTCTCTCTCTCACCATTCTGCTTTCATTGTTTCCCCTGTTCCCTCTTTCAACCCAAGCTGTCATGAGAATCTGCAAAGTGAACATCAAGAAATTACCAAAAGACTATCCAACGCACAAAGACAAAGAATTGTTGAACTCATCCTACTATATTCAAGAAAGAACATCTCAGGGCAGTACACAGCTCAAAAAGGGGTTATCAGCAAAGTTGCTGCAGATTTTAATGTTTCAAGGACAGTAGGTGTCATATGGAGCAGAGCCAGAAAACAAATACTAGAGGGTGTTGCCATTGATGTGAAAAGCAGACTTCCAGTGAATTCAGGCAGAAAAAGAGTTTCTATAGACATTGAGACCATTGGAAACACTCCTCTTGCCCAAAGGACAACCATTAGATCACTGGAAGCTTCCCTCGGTATGTCTAAATCAACAATTCATCTTTGTATTAAAAGAGGTTTGCTAAGAAGTGATTCAAATGCAATCAAACCCTTTTTAACAGATGAACACATGTTGAATAGATTGCAGTTCTGTTTCAATCAATTGGAACCCACTAGCATCCCCATGTAATCCCAGATTTAAAACATTTCACAATGTTCTGCACATGGATGAGAAGTGGTTTTTCATGTCTAAAACGTCATAGAAGTATTATCTTACCAATGATGAAATGGATCCATGCAGAACATGTAAGTCTAAACGCTTCATAACTAAGGTCATGTTCTTATGTGTTGTTGGTAGACCATTCATATCAGAGAATGGAGAGATTTTATGGGATGGAAAAATTGGAATATTTCTTTTTGTTGAAACTGTGGCTGCTAAAAGAAAGAGTAAAAACAGGGAGGCAGGTGTATTAGAAGTGAAACAACTTCTGAGTGTCACCAAAGAAGTGACTAAAGATATGCTGGTGAACCAGGTTATCCCTGCAATTAGGGAGAAGTGGCCCTCTTTCTTGGATAGGAACATACTTCTCCAGCAAGACAATGCAAAGCCACACATTTCTACCACAGATCCAGAGTTTATGGCAGCAGCAAGTGGGAATGGCTTCAACATCATCCTAACTAACCAACCCCCCAACTCCCCAGACCTCAACATTCTAGACTTGGGTTTTTTTAGAGCCATCCAATCACTGAAAGAGAAAACTGCTCCTAAAAATGTGGCAGAGCTAGTTGAGGCAGTTAAGGGTGCATATGCAGCACTTACTCCACAAACATTGAACAAAGTATGGTTGAGCTACCAACATGTGATGCAGGAAGTAATGAATAATGATGGAGGAAACAAGTACAAGCTACCACATATGGCAAAGGACAGGTTAGCTAGAGAAGGAACACTGCCAGTGACTCTAAATGTACCCCACACACTATTGGAGAAGACAGTAAGGGTGCTGAGCAATAGGTCTGTGCAAAATGAAGAGCAAGTATTGCATCAGTTCATGAATGAAGATGGAGAAGAGTTCTCATCTTCAGAAATGAACTCAGTGTGTTTCATAACACCAAGGGGTTTTTTTTTGGTGAATGACTAGGTACATGTTTTTGGCTTTTGAATTTTCTATATGTAAGTAATGAAGAGTAGGTTAGTAAGACCTTGACTTTTTTGTCTCACCATCAAGGCAACCACTCGAAATGTACTCCAGTAGGTTTTCTTTTACTACCACTCGCATTATGTACCTTAATGAACTACTTGAACTAGACAACTTAATCACATGTTCATCATCGCTGTGTATGTAGTATAATGTGTGCAACTACCCATGAAAATGAAAAGAATAAAGAAAGAGTAACTTCACTTTCCACTCTCGATGAGAAAGCAAGCCCGGAATTGGTTGAGCTGCGCCAACCCCTTCTTCCGGTAGACTGGAGTGGCTGTCCATCTCAAGACCTGCTGCTCTTCATCCAATTCGCTCCCAAAGCTTCGCATCTGCTCATCCTCCATCTCACTTTCCTCGTATTCGCTGTCAGCAAAGACTATGCCAACTCCAGAGCTGGTCTTAGTGGACTCACTCTCTCTGTCCTCACTGTGTAATGAATCGATAGTCTCTCTCTCCGTTCTCAAACTTCTCATCTTCGGGCTTCATCCCTTGATAGTATTCAGCGATTTGAGATTCAACAAGTAACTGGATCTCAGAAATCTGAGAATCCATATCAATGTTGGGGATGAAGATTAGATCTAGGGTTTTGTGGGAGAAGGAATTTACAGAGACACGAATAGAGGGTGAGACGGAGAGGAGGACACAGAGATGGCGAGGACGAGAGATGCAGAAATGGCGAGATGGAGAGATCTAGATCTAGGTTTAGAGAGAGGAGGCGAAGAGTACAAGAGTATAAGAGATAGTGTGGCGTAAATGTGGAGGTGTGGTGGTTGTGGCGTAAATGTGAAGGTGGGGGTATTTTAGACATTACACACCCTTGTTAAGGGTGTGGGAAGAAAGTTTTAGGACGGGGAAAAAGGGGAAATGAGAAGAAAGTTTTAGGACGGAGGGAGTATAATTTAATTATACTTTAAGCACCAGTTTACACTTTCTAACCGGTTAGGATAGGTTTAAGCCCAATTACCTTATTCGACAGTCATATCTTGGGCCTAGTAAGTCCGATTCTCAATTTGTTCATGCGGACGGGTTCAGAACAGCGAGCCCTACAACGTAGGTCAACTCTCATATCAAATACACAAATTAGAAAATAATCTTTGTTTTGACCGACTCCATAATTAATTAATTATATAAATTAATTAAAAATACCAAGCCGGGTTTCGTGGTGTTACATTCTCCATGTTGGAACACCGCAACTCAGCTCCTCGCAACACTCTAGCCACATAATACATGGGTAGCTGTGTGCCCTCCTCTTCCCTTACTAGCACTGAGCTCCAACCCGAGGAGAAATACCTAGAAACAAGTACAAAGTCTCCCCCTGCTCTGGCTTCAAAAGCACTAGTGGCGAGAGGAGGTATGCGTTTAACTCTTTAAAAGATCGCTGACGTTCTTCTATCCAAATGCACCCCTTGCTCTTCTTGATGGTTTGGAAGAACAACATTGCTCGATCAACTATTTTCGATAGAAATCTGCTGAGAGCAGCAATTCTTCCCGTAAACTGCTGGACCACTTTCACATTTCGCGGAGGTTAAATGTCCAATATCGCCTTAACTTTCTCTGGGTTGGGTTCGATACCCCTCCGGCTAACCATATGCCCTAGACTCTTACCACCTTGTACGCCAAATGTACACTTCTTTGGGTTGAGGCAGAGCTGGTACATCTGCATAATCTTGAACACCTTCTCTAGATCCTGCGCGTGCGATGCCATCTGCTTTGATTTGACGATCATATCGTCCACATACGCCTCCATGCATCTCCCCAGGACTGGCGCAAACAGCTTGTTGACCATCCGCGCGTAGGTTGCCCCAGTGTTCTTCAACCCAATGACATTACCCGGTAACAATAAAATCCATTTTTAAGTAATAAACGAAGTCTTCTCCTCATCACTTGCTGACATCCTTATCTGGTGATACCCACTAAATGCTAAATGCATCCATGAAGCTCATTAACTCGCACCCCGACGTCTCTTCCACCAACTGATCAATATTGAGTAGGGGGAATGGGTCTATTGGGCAGGATTTATTTAGGTCGGTATAATAGATGCACATCCGGCAGGTATTCCCTTTGGGTGTGAAGACTACATTGGCCAACCACTCTAGGTTCCGGACCTCTCGAATATGCCCAATGGACGGTAGGATACTTACCTCTTTCGTGACAAAGTCCCTTCTCTCCAAAGAGAGGAATCGCTTCTTCTGCTTGACCTGCCTGTGTGCCTGGTCGACAGGCCAGCCGATGACAGATGATTCGAGGATCAACCCCAGGGCTTTGCTGACTTTAACCTTCCGCCCTGGCTTCGCAGGGTCCAGGATAACTTCTTCCCCTTCTTCTCCTGGCTCTTCCATGGGCTGACCTTCTTCCCTCTGGATGGCAGCGCAGATCATATTGACATTCTCGACGATCCGTGCATAACTCTTGGTCGCCCTAACATAGCACGACCATGACAAGCTTTGGTTACCCATGGCCACACCTACCCCCGTAGAGGTAGGGAGCTTCATGCACAGATGGGGGAAGGAGATTACGCACTCCAAATCTTCTACCCCCTGTAGAGGTAGGGAACTTCATGTAACGCCCCAAAACCCAGATTATCAAAATTAATTAATTAGAAATAATTAATTTGTTATTTAGACGGACTCGGTGGGAAATTATGTAACACCATAATCCGTCCAGGTCTGCAGTCCCTTTCAGACTAAAGTATTAACTTGGTAATCGTAAAATTTAAAACTTTTCAAACACTTTTATTTATTACTCCCTCCGTCCCCCTAAGATGTTCTCATTTTGACTTTTGGTGGTTTTTAAGGAGAGTTGAAAAAAGGTGAAAAATTACTGTAATACCCTTAATGAAAATGGGTGGAGTGTATTAAATGAGGTGGGTGAGATATAATAAATAAAGTAAGTGGGGGTAGTTGTGGTATTTTAATTGTTAAAAAATGAAATGAGAAGATCTATTGTGGACAAAGACAAAGAGCTATTGGGAAGATCTATGGGGGACGGAGGGAGTACAATAATATTTTTCGTAACATATACAGTGCGGAGTTTTCAATATTGCGGAAGCTTAACAAATCATAATTACAAACATAATTTGTTTATGTTCTTTAATTCAAAACCATCACATCCATTCCGACAATCTCGTCTCCGTCTGCCTCCAGAATCACGTCACATCATTCTTTCTATTAACCTGTGTGTAGCAAATAAAACATACTACACGCTCAGCGGTGAAGCTGAGTAAGCATATCTAATGCGTCGAACATCCATATAAATTGAATCCAAATTCATAATCAAATCATTTGATATCATGCACAAAGTATTCAGTTCAAATATACAATAATCAATTTTCAACATTCGTCATTCAATATTCATATTCAACATTCAACATCCTCATTCAATAATATCCTTAAACTATTCTTAGTCTAAGGCCAATCTATTTGATGTTTACCAACTCTTAAACTAGTTCTAGTTTAAGGTACTTCTATCCAACTCTTAAGCTAGGTCATTAGTTTAAGGTACATATATTCCGATTGATTTACCAACTCTTAAACTAGCCTTTGCTTAAGGTACAAATCCAGAAAACCGAACAGTAGGATACTAACTGTCGGGTTGGGTGGCATCCCCAAACGAGTTCCTCTAGTTTGGTTATGGATCCCGTACGTACGTTTTAACCCAGGCCACCGAATATTCATAATTATACCCACAAGGCCTATTTCTAAGTCATCTTAGAGGTCTTCTAGATAGTCTTAGAAACCAACGTCAACCTAGGTATATCTTAGAGTTCTAGATATCCTTAGAATTCAAATCATTTCATAATCATCAACATATTCATTTCAATTCTTAATTTAATCTTCAATAATCATTTTAATCAGTAGTTTCATCAAGTCATAATCATCATAATAATCATTCATCATAATCATCAATCAACATAACATTTGATAACAAACAGCGGCCTAGTCTCGAGTGTTAACACCCGAACTTACCGTCATGCATCACATAGTATTTTATGTGCCAAAAACATCATTTTTATTATACAAAATCATATTTATATTGTGCATAATTAATTGGTATCAAAAATAGGATTTCATAGTTCAAAAATCATGTTTTCTAAACAATAATTGATTAATATATGATAGGAAATTCAATTATTAACTATTAGCTTCATTTTCTTCAATAGTGTAGGGAGACAGTGTACTGTCACTTCTGATAATCTACTGTCTGATGTTCAGAATGGGCTGATAATCGATTATCACACTCTGATAATCGATTATCAAACTTCAGAGAGGGTTAATAGTCGATTATCACATTCTGATAATCGACTGTTGCTCAGCTTTGTTCAAAAAATCTGCAGAACGATGAATAATTGATTTTTAAGTTGATAATCGATTACCCATCGTCTTCTACCTCGAGCCAACTTGCGGAAATGTCACTTTTACTCACCAAACTTCAATTAAAGTATATAAAAATGTTCTCCAAGGTTCATGGATCATTTTAGCATCATTAATTCATAATTTTAACATCAATTTCATGGTTTATGATTCTTAGTTCTTCAAGCATGTCAAACACAAAACTCAACCAAATGACCATTTATGAACGTAGAAACGACCTATATGAACATTCTAGTCATTAGATATATCTACGGGCTTACCTCGAAGNATTCATAATTTAATCTTCAATAATCATTTTAATCAGTAGTTTCATCAAGTCATAATCATCATAATAATCATTCATCATAATCATCAATCAACATAACATTTGATAACAAACAGCGGCCTAGTCTCGAGTGTTAACACCCGAACTTACCGTCATGCATCACATAGTATTTTATATGCCAAAAACATCATTTTTATTATACAAAATCATATTTATATTGTGCATAATTAATTGGTATCAAAAATAGGATTTCATAGTTCAAAAATCATGTTTTCTAAACAATAATTGATTAATATATGATAGGAAATTCAATTATTAACTATTAGCTTCATTTTCTTCAATAGTGTAGGGAGACAGTCTACTGTCACTTCTGATAATCTACTGTCTGATGTTCAGAATGGGCTGATAATCGATTATCACACTCTGATAATCGATTATCAAACTTCAGAGAGGGCTGACAGTCGATTATCACATTCTGATAATCGACTGTTGCTCAGCTTTGTTCAAAAAATCTGCAGAACGATGAATAATCGATTTTCAAGTTGATAATCGATTATCCATCGTCTTCTACCTCGAGCCAACTTGCGGAAATGTCACTTTTACTCACCAAACTTCAATTAAAGTATATAAAAATGTTCTCCAAGGTTCATGGATCATTTTAGCATCATTAATTCATAATTTTAACATCAATTTCATGGTTTATGATTCTTAGTTCTTCAAGCATGTCAAACACAAAACTCAACCAAATGACCATTTATGAACGTAGAAACGACCTATATGAACATTCTAGTCATTAGATATATCTACGGGCTTACCTCGAAGGTAAATGAAGGTTTTGGAAATTTTCCAGCGAAACTTCCGGCAACGATTACTCCCATCTCCGGAGACCTTTCACAAAATTGACAGCATCTATGTACTCTCCATATTCATAGCTCCCATATGAAAGAAGAAAGAAAGATTTTGGTGTGGAAATGAGGAAGAGGAGAGTAGCATTTATAGCTAGAGAAGAAAGAAGAAGACAATTGGTGATCCTGGTGATGATGGATCGATTAGTGCGCAGGGCTGCGATGCTGATGAATTTCTCACGATTCTTCTCTGATTGGGACTAATTTGGTCCCAGTCGGGGTACACTTTTTGGTCCAACTTTCTCCGAATTGAAATGTTTTTGCACCTTTGCGATCAGACAGTCGAGCTCTATCCAACGATATAATTTTTATGTTTATTTGGTATACTTTTTCAGACAGCATATTTTTGGGTGGTTGACTTTGACAGAGTCAAAATTGATTCAGTTGACTTTTATTCAAAAAGGTTCTCATATTTAATTCATATTAATTATTATCATGATTTATTTTAGTAAATCATTTTAAAGTTAAATACATACCTAATTTCTTTATTTATTCTTGATTTGGGTCTGTACTCATGTTCTCAATCAAGGTTACACAAATTAGTCAACATATTTTATCTCAATGAGATTTATCGAGATTGTGATATTGGACTTTAGAACATATTTCATATCGGGCCCAAAGCCTAATAATAATTTATTTTAATCAAAACAAATTTGTTTAATTGAATATTTAATTCAATAAATTTTAGGGTATGTTTTGGGGCGTTACAAATTATATATACTTCCGTTTGACAATATAGATTATACCGTTGTGTAAGGTTCGACGGATCGAATCTAACAGTGAAATCAAACTTGGATTTGGAGACAGTGGGCTTAGAAAGTGCGTTTGGGCTAGGTACGTTTAGTTAATACGGAGCCCAAAACCCCAAAAGTATAAATACACACCCTACACGCCCCAAACCCTTACGCCACACCATATTTACGTAACTCCCTCCCCACTCTCTCACGTCTCTCTCTCGTGTCTCACTCACGCCGAACGGAACAGAGCAGAAGGCAAACGCAGGAAGAAGAAGACGAAGAAGAAGAGGAAGAGAGGGAAAAGAAGAAGGAAGAAGAATCTGACGCCGTTGTTCGTGAGTACTATGTCATAGCTTAATCGTCGAATTCGAGCTGAGTACGTGGTCATCTAACGTATGGTTATATTCGTAGGTTTGAATCTTACGTTTGTAGAATCGTTACGGTTGATCTATTTGGACTATACGTGAATTATGCCTTGTTTATGTAGTTTAGGATGTGAAAAACATGATTTGGGTTAGAATGATTGAGGGATGATTAGATAATGTTGTATTGATGGTTTAGGATCTGTTATGCTTGTATTTACTAGAACTAATGCTGTTTGATGGACGAAAATGGAGCTGGTGCAAGTGTGGTGTTCGCCGCGACAGACGGTAGTGGGGGTACCGTTAACACGGTACCTGGCTACCGCCAGCCTCCCCGGTTTCGTCTCTCTCTATCGGTACCTGTCTTAGGACGGCACCCAGGTGCCGGATGGGCGGTAGGCCCTATCGTCTATCGGTAGGGGCTACCGTAACAGCCTACCAAAGGGGATTCCAGCTGACACAGTCGGTACCCTCGTACCGTGGGGACAGTACCCTAGTACCGTGGGGCTGGTAGCCTCTACCTCCAAGGGTACCTGAACCGGTCTGCATTTTGTCGTTCGCGTCGAGGATCGATTCCGAGACTTTGTGTGTTGCATGACGGTAAACATGGGTGTCAATACCTAGGGTTAGGCTGCTCATTGAGTATAATGGATGTGATTAAATATGTGTATGATGTGTGAACACGTATGCTAAGAACTAGTGGCTATTAAAAGATGGAATACCTAGAACAAACCCTAGGAACTGACCTGAATGGAAATAATTGCAAGTCGTGTCATAAGCTAGTAAGTTAGAGTCATGTGGTACCTACTGGGTCCAAAGGCTATCCGGGTAAAAACGTGTACATGGGGATCCAAGAACTGTTGTTCCGAAGGGGACATGGATATCACCCACCCAACGAGGAACTCCCGAGTTGATTTGAGCTTGGCCTTCGTTCCGAAGGGGAAGGTCATGACTCCCATAGGCAAGTTGTATACAGTAAGCTTTAACTGAGTATATGTTAAGAGCCAAGTATAGAAAGAAGTAAGGTAACAAAAGAGTAAAGAGCTTGTTATTGTATCCTGTAAGTTGTACCTCTTGAATGATGATATTAATTATGTATGTTATATTCTGTATGATGTATGGATATGTTGAGCATGTTGTGTGCATGATATCGTATGAGAATATGGGCTAGTGGGATCATATATGGGTATAACTGTATGTTAGATATTTCTCACTTAGCTTCAACGCTGAGCGTGTAGCCCTTTTTCCTATTTGCTACACGTAGGTAATCTAGAAAATGATGAGCTTGGAGCCAATCCCGGAGGGCGATGAGGAGGCTGAGATGTGCGGGGCGGTGTTCGTTGACTTTGAACTCTTATTAATTATTTAAATAACTTATTACTATTTCGGGCATGATTCCCAAGTTGTGTTTTGAATTAAGAATTAAGCTTCCGTAACCGACTTGATTTACTTTGATGGATAATTAACTATTGTTTTGAAATAAATGTTTTAAATTCTTTGAAAGTTAAATGGTGTTTGGTTACCAAATTAGTAGCAACCCAGTTTGCTGATTCGAGTGTTCGGGTTACGCGGGTTGGGGTGTTACACTTCATGCACAATCGAGCTGCACTACATGAATTTCATGTCGAGCCAGAGTCGGTGGGTGTCATCTCCTACACAAGCTTTAACTACGATTGTCCCTTCCGCCTCAATTGTATCACTAGTAAAACCAGACAATGGGGTACGACTCGGTTTTAGATCTGCTCGAGACGAGCCTAGCTCCTTAAAGGTATTGTTGTACATGATATTGGCTAAGCTACCTGTATCGACCAAAGTCCGATGGACTTACACATTATTGATCTCCACTTTTATCACTAGCGCATCCCGGTGAGGACTGGGCACCGGCAGATAGTCTTCATCGGTGAAGACTATCGGTTCATCCTCTTCTTCTTGGGCAGCGGGGGCCTTTGTATCTCGGCCAAGTGTACCATGTTCTTCCACTTCTTTCGGGAGGTCGCTGAATCTCCTACGGTATTACCTCCCATGATGAATCGATGCCCTAAGTGCCGTCGATTCTACCTCTCATCTTCGCCGAGATCTTCGTAGTCTCTTCCCAAATGCCTTCTTCCATCCACTCGTCCTTTCCTATTTTTGATCGCGGCGGTGGCGGGTCTCTTCCATGTCTTGTCTCTGCGTGCTTGCCGCTTCGCTCGAGGCGGTGGTCCCCATCTATCAGTTGATCCATCTTCTGCTTCAGCGTAACACACTCCGACGTAATGTGGGTGCTGTTACGGTGGTACTCATAATATTTTGGAGCATCTTGGACGTTATAGCTTTCCTGACCACGGGGAGGGGCTGGTAAGGATTGGAACGCGTGTACTGGCGGCCTGCTCGCTGATAACCTGTAGGATTCGAGCCCCTTCTAAAATCCTTCCTCTTCCTGCTATCGCCTGCTGGCTGAACACTCTTCTTCTCCTTCTTGACAGGCACCTCGTCATCCTCTTCTTCTAAGGCTAGGTACTTTGCCCTAGCCAACATCTCCTGGTACGTCGGAAGCGGATTCCGCTGCAGCTCCTTGCGCACATCCCCTAGGGGGAGTGCTTTTAGGAGCATAGCGACCAAAGCTTGGTCGTCCGCACCTTGGACGTCCCCAGCCTCCTTCTCTCATCAGGTGATAAAATCCTAGAACTACACCTCCCTTTCGGATCTTGACATTGAGCAGGTGGGAGTATGGGAGCTTTTGCCTCCACCTTGACGCAAAATGTTCTAGAAACTTGTGGGCGAAATCCTTCCACTCGTTGATCAATCCCCTCGGCAGCTTGTAAAACCACTCGCAGGTTTGTCCCTCCAATGTTGCCAAGAAACAATAGCCTTGAATCTCCTTCGGATATGCATCCATGACTACATTTGCCTTAAAATGCGCTAGATGATCGTGGGGATCGGTCGTCCCGTTATACGCCTTGATTTGAGGGGTCTTAAAATTCTTGGGGAGAGGGCATGACATCACCCTCTTTGAGAAAGGGGTCACTTCATCGAAAACCGCCTGGCGGTAGGGATTTCGGGGGTCAAATCGCTTCTCTAGTGGGTCGATTGTTTTCTAAAGCTCGACCGTGTCCTTCTCCACGATCACTTTTTGTCTCCCTTCTGAGTGGGCCTTGGTCATCATCTTGGACTCCTCCCTTCGTTCCCGAAGCTTTTCCCTCAGGTCCCCCTTCTGAGCTGACCGGTTATCTTGCAGTCGGTCGAGCACGAAGGTGTGTGGTTTCTTCTGTTTGGGATCTCCCAACCGATCGAAAACGGAAGCCCGCTCGAATGAGGACGAGTCACCTTCCTCGTCCAACCTTGATAGATCATCCTCTATCATCGCCTTCCCATTAGGCTTAGTTGCTTTCTTTTTCTGAGAGTGCGTGGTCTTTTTCTTCTTCTTTCCCTCTCATCCTGCAGGCCCAGCCATCCCCTCGGCATGCGCGCTGTGACATCGTCTATCACGATCTCCTGGTTTGGGGCCAAGGTCTCCACCACCTCCTTGAACCGGTCATACGTAATCCTAGTCTGTTGGATGAGAAGCTCAGCCTCTGCCACATTGATAGGGAGGTGACAGCCCCCGGTGGCGCCAATTTCCCCTTGATGAGGATTTCTGGTGGGCTGATTAGCGTTGCTGCGGGTTTGCACCATTTTTGTTTGAAAGGTTTCTTCTTGAGTTAATTTCTCGAGCACTTAACGAGAGCACCAATTTGATGGACAAGAATTCCACCAAATAGTCCAACTCAATGGGCGGATTGTAAAAATAATATTGATTCAAGAACTCGAGTATTGCGAGATTATACACTAGGTTTTGCTTGAGGATCCTTGTTCCAAACTTCTCTATTTATACATATCTCTCTACATAATTAAGGTAGTTATTGATTATGGAAGCTAATTCCCATGATTTGTGCGATCCTATATCTCCCGCTCTTTTCCCGCAACCTAGCCGCGTTCTCCTACTAAGCAGGCGAACTCCCAACGACCCTTTGGTTCGGGTGAGCTCTGGCCCGATACTAACTTCAAATACCCATGGGTCCCAAAACACACCCGGGCACATAGGTTGGGCTGCCCAGCAGGTAACGACACATCAAGTAGTTTTTAAGATTGAAATGTATTATAATTGATTAGTTCATTTTATGATTTTTGAAAGATTAATTATTTTTGTCCTTATGACTTGATGTGAAGAGTTGTTACCCATTGCTGACCTCTAAGTCTTGAATCGAAACTTGATTAAATTAATATACTCCGTATTAAAGATTAAAATTTTATTGTAATTGATTAGTTCACATTACAAATTTTTAAATTTTACATTATTAAAAACAATTTTAAAAAACAAAATTACCAAAATCAATATCGAGAACTAGACCGTGAACCGGGGCGGTGCCGGGCGACCATCGGCAGACGCTGCCAGTACCCCCCTCTCCGATAGCAAAAATCGGCATTTTTGGAATCGTAACTGTATCAGATGGGTACTATGTGTATGATCGAGTGCATCCACATGGCCGTACATCCACAACAATATTTAGTTTTCGAGTAACAAAATAGTACAAATTTTAGGTATATTTATTTTCAATTGAGAATGTAGATAATAAAACATATGTGATCATTTGAATACTACAAAATGCTCATTACATTTATACAGAATGTAATCATCATCGTCGTCGTTTCAATTGAAACTACGCATGGGACAATGATGAAACATTTTCCTTTTTGTTTCTAATATGCAAATTTAGCTTCCTAATTAGATCAGTAAGTGGGCCGGGTGGGGTGATTATAACATGAAACTCAAGAATAACACTCCAGCATAGGGGTGGACACGGTTCCGGTACCCATTTAAGAGGAACCTGAACCAGTACTGTGCAGGGGCAATTCCAGGTTGTACCAGGTCAAAACCAGAACCGTGTCTAGGGCTACAGTAGTCCTGCATGAGAGAAAGAGGCTAGCGGGCATCAGCAATGCAACATATTAGAGTTTTGACTTTTTACTTGAAGCTCATGAGCAACATATCTCAATTTTTAAAGATGCTAGCTAGTAGGTAGCGTCCATTTAAAAAAACACAACTTTGAACTTCTAGTAGACTTTCACACATCAACATTAGATTTCTAGCAGACCTGCACACGAGCATTCAAATAAACCTGCACGTATTTCATGAAGACAATTCATCTATAATAATAATAATATTAATAATAATAACATTAAACTTCAAATTGGAGTACAGTGAAACTTAGACTTGCTAAACTGGAACAAATCTAATTTCTTTAATTGCTTCCAAAGAGTAGCATACATGGTACAATGATGATGATGATGATGGTGATGGTGATGGTGATGATGATGATGATGATGATGGTGATGGTGATGGTGATGGTGATGATGATGATGGCTACTGTTTTCTTTTTCCTTTGTAATCTGCTCCAGCAAAAGTAAGAATAAGGATCCTTCCAACACATTCAACAATGCACCAATTTAACAATGTGCATTTAACTTATTCTTCTTCTTTTTTCCCAACACTCTTGTGTTCTAGAGGGAGTAGTTACCTTAACTAAACGCCCCCATTTAACAAATAAATAAATAAATAATTTAATATATTTCTCCATGTTTATTTTTGGGTGCTTTTGCAATTTATCAAGAATTTGTCTGGGTTCGATTACAGATTTGCAGCTTCAACCTTTCCTATTCAAAATTGATTGACTTCAATTCTATTTCAAATTCAATTAGTGTCCAAGAGTCCAAAACATACTGCACGAACATCCCAAGACCAAACAAACCTAATGACCCACATTCAATCTAAAATTTATAGAAATGATTTGACTTGCCTATGGGAGTCATGACCTTCCCCTTCGAAACGAAGGTCATGCTCAAACCAACTTGGGAGTTCCTTGTTGGGTGGGTGAGATCCATGTCCCCTTTGGAATGACTGTTCTTAGATCCCCGTGTACATGTTTTTACCCAGACAACCATTGGACCCAGCAGGTACCACATGACTCCAATTTACTAACTTATGGCATACCTTGCCACTAATCCATTCAGGTCAAACCCTAGAGTTTATTCTAGTAGATTCATCCTTTATTCATTAGCAATTCATAATATAATGTTCATACATCCAACAAGTATCAATCACCACGTTTAACATGCTCAAACATCGGCATAACACTAGGTGTTGACACCCATGTTTACGTCATGCAACACACAAAGTCTCGGAATAGATCCTCGACATAAACAGATGATTCAGACTGGTTCAGGTATCACACTGTACCCTCGGCGGTAGGGGGTACCGACCCCACGGTACCGGGGTACCGTCCCACAGTACGTGGGTACCGACCGTGTAACTAGAAAGCTCCCTTCTGTTAGGCTGTCACAGTAGCCTCTACTGGGTGCTTCAGACAGTTGTTCTACATGCAGCATCCATACCTTACGAAGAAAAGGTTTCCATGAAAAATTACAAAGAATAAAGATTATTTTTAAGATGGTTATCAATCCATGGTAAAACAAACTATTACTGTGAAGAGAAGAAAGGTTAATTTCGAGAGTAGGAGGTATAGTACTGTGCATGAGTAATATAACACAATAAAGGAGTAAAATTCAGAGCAGCACACAGGGAGGAATGAATAAATAAAACAGAACCGAGTCTTGCAATTGTTGAGGCCCCAATTGCTTAATGCATACAAATCTGAGACCAGGATGTAAAGAAGAATGCTGGATGCATACAGAGTATGGAATTATAAGTTTTTTTCCATTAGTGTTTGATACGCAGTAAAAACTTACCTAGAAAGTCATTGGCACTGATTTTTGTAGCACTGGAGACCCTTGAAATAGTATCAGCTTACTATACTTCTCTTTTATTTCTAAAACCTAAAAAACAAATAAAAAAAAATAGAATTAGAACAACCACAAATTCCAGGTTCTGCTCAAGAAGGTTATTGGGCTTGAACTAAATTACAAAGCATTAGTGATGATGTGGACTCTCATAAATACTAGATAATGCTACTAAGGAAGGTAATTCAAATATTTTCATCAATTATCTCTCTCTACCTTCTGTTTCTACAACAACAACGACAAGTAAATTGTAAATTTATACCTCTTCCACATTGAGTTTAGTAAATCCCATCTTAGGAATCCATAAGGGTTCTATTTCCTTGCATGTAAGGAGAACAATGTTTTTCACTTTTCGGGAACTTAAAAACCTTTCTAAGAAGCAGAACATGACTTGAAAACAGCCCTTAATATTCAAAATTAACAATATAGTACTCCCTCCGTCCACAAATAAACTTTCTGTTACACGTTACGATGTTTGACTAAACTTATTTTCGAATCATTTTATATGAAAAATGTTGTAAAATTTAAAAATAAAAATTATATATTAAAAAAACTATTTCAAAAGATTTACAAAACTAGAGGTGACATGACTATATTATTTTATGAAATGGGTGACGAAAATAGGCCAACAAAGTAAATAAAGTTTGACCCTGTGAATAGTGAACGAGAAGTTTATTTGTGGACGGAGGGAGTAATAATTAGGAAATATATAATTAGCAGTGATAGCCCCCCCCATAAAATGAAACAGTAAGAACTAGGTTACAGGAATGCACCTTTCCTTGAGATGTGGAGCGTGTTGCAATAAGTGGAAGTTCTACACACTCTGTCCTGAGTACCCTGAATAGGGCGCTTGCCACCACCTTCTTGCTACGTTATAGTTGGAAAGAACTAGTATTAGTTATGAGTA